TCTTCCGTGAAATCATCATCATTTAGAAATACATATGGATAATTATATTTATTGTTCCAATATCGTTCAAGTTGTTCGATTGAAGGCTTTATTCCCTCAAGCTCACTATTCCTCGCCAGTATTAGAATTACACCTTTGGCTCTTTTGGTGGAGTTTGTTAGTTCTGGATCTTTTGTTGGGTCTAGGTAATCTTCTCTAAAGAATTTCTCGCGTGGATTTTCGAAATAATCAGTAAGTGATTTTGTGAGAGAAGCTCCAGAAGTGGATAATGATGTGTATGAGTATAAAAAAACGAATAATAAACTTATTAATGCAATAATCAGCATTAGAATTAATAAACGTAGCAAACTTTGAGAACGTATTGGAGAACGTGTAAAGAATTTTGTCATTTTTTAAATAGTAATATTAATTTTTTTTTTTGGGATACTCTTTTTAAGTATTACCAATGTCACACTAACATTACATCCATTACAACTTTTTCATTCAATAATTTATATCTTGGAAATATACTAATCGTAAAATCAATCAAAGTTTAAATAGTTTATTTTAATTGATAGAGTTTTAAATTATTAATTAATACAGTGCAAATTGTCTATATGAAAACCTAAATATCATGTGACCCACTTGTCAGATTTTAATGAAAATATTACCATTTAACTCAGCTTTAAAAAGGAATCGATTTATAACAAAAAAAATTTAGTCTCATTGTTTAGTCGAAGATCTTTCTTAATTTGGAAAATAATAAATTTAAAAGTTTCAAAAGATTTATTTAAGATAAAAAACAAACAAGACATTAGATTAAAATAAAAGAATACTTAAATTTCAATTTCATCGTACACAGAATCAGGAACTTTCCTGTGTGATCTATACTTTTTCACTGCAAACTCAGCTAATCTTCCTGAAATCCCCTTTCTACAAACATCCATATATCTCCAGCTTTTTTCTGCATAACGACGAATTGTTGTTAAGGATACTGAATTTAATGCTTCTGGTACAACTATTTGTAAACTTGACCACTTATAATGTTTGCAGCTCCCAAAACATTACTAGAATCTGAAGAATAAATTTCATCTGATAAAATAAAATCTGAGTCAGAAGAATCTGATACTTTGCTTTCTTCAAATTGACCTGTAGATGAATTGTTAGATCGATTTTTGAAATTTTTTCTTTGAGCAATTTGCTTTTTTGATAATGGCATATTTAAATGATAAAAATAAATCAAAGACGCGATGTTACACGAATTTGCTTGGTCTCATTTTTGTAACCTTATATATGTAAATTGATATTACTTTAAACCTATATAACTTGATTAATATTGAAGATAAAAAAAATTCTAGCCACTAATAAAGTTGCTTGCCGAAACCTCTTAATTACTGCCGAAACTCTGCCGAAACTCTAATAAACAATTAGTGTGTAACCTGCCGAAACTTTGCTAATTGTCGAAATCTCTAAATGTGAAACTCTGCCGAAACTCTAACAAACAATTAGTGTGTTACCTGCCGAAACTCTGCCAATTGATTTCCAGAGGAGTTTTGGCAAGCAACCATAGCCACTAACTTTGAAAGCTCTAGTGTTGCTTAGTAAAAATTAGTTTTTTAAAATGCTTTTTTAATTTATTTTTATCAAATTTGGCAGCACTGTAAAAAATAAAAATAAAAATAAATCAAAACTGGTGGATTGATGAATAATAATAATACAGAATCTAATTAATAATATTTGAATTATTTGCTGATGGTGAAGTGGTTGTTGTATTTGTGCTTGAGGTTGTAATTGGACCTAAAAAAATATATATTGGCCCGCAAAAAGATCACTAACATACCACATTTAGTTACAAAAACGGATTTACACTAGCTACTGGAATGGCAAATCGTTTAATCATATTAGGATTGGCATCTTGATAATTGAAAAAAGTGCTTGCAATTGCTTTATTGCAAGTTGTACAAACAATATTTGTTGGTGCTTGGCTAATAATATCCAATGTTGAATCAAGTGATTTGGCAACACCAGGATTATGTTTCATGTATTCATTTAGATTATCAACAGTTTTGACAAAACAACATCCATTAGTTGAATTTTTTAAACATAATGAATCTCTAATTGATGGATAATAGCTGAAGATAAAACCCAATGCTGCCGGAACTTGGTTATCCAAGTCAGTTGCACATGCTTGTTCAAAGTTTTTACAAACGGTTGTGATTAAATTGTCAGAACATTTCACAGCAGCACATAATTTATTGGCTGCTTGAGTTAATACAGTGTCGGTGGGAATACCACCAGCACTAGCAACTGGTGCCAATGATGCAAGTGGTATACGTGTATTAAGCTCTTGATTACTTATTAATGGTGATATTCCATTATTAATACAAGCCTGAGAAAGATTTGAAGATTGAGCTGATGTTAAAGTCATCATATTGTTATTATTTGTAACAATAAATAATATAAATGCCAAGCATTTTATTGATTTCATGATTTCTTTCTTTAATTAATTAATAAGATTAATGTAATATTTTTAATTTTTGTGGTTTTTTAAAAAATTCTACAGACAAAAATTTAATCGCATTTATATATTTTATCATTTATTATTATACCATTACTATTGCTTTTATGGAATGTAATTAACATTAATAGATCGATTATGAGAAAAAGTAGATCAATTCTAAATTTTCAAAATGAAAATGATTAATATTAACAAGATTTAACTGAGTATTTGTGTGAGCTTTTTATAACAGATAATATAAGAACTAAATAAGAATATGTGTTA